TCTTTTCCCAATTATCTGTTATTTCATAATCGTCATTGTCTTCAATATCCGATTGAGCGTCATGCAATAATTCAGCATCTTGCTCTTCTTCCTGTTGCGGTTCGTCTTCAATATTTTCATCTTCATTTGGATTATCATTATTCTCTATCAACATAGTAATATCAGTCAATATTGAATTATCGTTCTCAACGTCCATATATGGATCTTCATCGTCATCTTCATCGTTATTCGAATCGGTGTCGTTTGATGCTGATTCTGTGGGTGTTATTCCACCTAAGAATGAGGATGGTGACTTTGATTTTATCCAAAAGCCCAAAGCATTACATATTACGAGGTGAAGACGGTGGGCCACACACCATATTTGTTGAATGGATGGGAATCCTTCGCAGGCTTTAACCATGTTTGATGCACCGTCACATGTGATCGTAATGACTTTTGTATAAATTCCTAAATCTTTCAATATTGTTTTAATTGCTTGGACGATATTTGATGCTGTATGACGGTGAGGAAACGATGAATAATGAAGAACAGTGCTTTTCAATTTTAATTCATTTGTAACATAGTGGCCAGTAATAACAAAGAATGATACATTAGATTTGTTAGACCAAAAATCGGCAGTAATGGAAATAGAATCAACACCCTTCATTTCATCAACTAATTTGTTAGTATGATATTTTTTCAGTCTTTTCAAATGGTGTTTCATCCAATTCCGATGGGGTGATTTATAACCTAAATCAAGAAATTTCCTGGTATAACAAATAAAAAGCATCTAAGAAAATAGGATGAAATCTCGTTGTTCGTTTTATATCTTTTACCCTTGCAAAATATTAGGTACATTTAAAGATACCCCCTTCCCTCTTTTTGCAGAAAAATTGCCATTTTAAGGTGAACATAGTTTAATGTAGAGGAAAGTCTGGGCTATAAAATGAGATCACTTCCAGCTCTCCGCGACCTTCCTTGAAAAAATTAGGAAGTTTTTAGGTTTTTCCTTTAAAGTTCAGAAAATCTTAATCTTTTAGGTTCGTAAATTTTTCTCTCCTTTCTATATATTCAAACCTATTTTATATATAGCATGATAGAAGAAAGTGTGCTCGTCGAAATAAGATGTTTTCCAGAATTTTTCGATGAGTTTTCTTAGAGATATGCGCATTGCCGTAAATGCCCTGAAAAACAGGGAAGAGTCTCTCAATACAGGGAAGAGTCAAATTATATTTATCTTCAGTCTAGAATATTTTTGTACAGTAAGAGACAATACTCATACCAGTATCAATTTTTAACACACGCACTCTAACAAGCTAACATTCTTATGCTAACCTGGAACTATTGCATGAATTAGTCTTGAAATTGCCGGTTTCGATAAATCACCAAAAGCACGTCCATCTTGTACAATACATCGAATACATAAATCATGTAATTTCTTTTTTTCTTGTGGTGGTAATCTACAATCACATTCTTCTTTTATTTCTCTTGACGGCAATTTTAATTCTGTCTTTCCGTGTTGGGTAACTAAATGTGAGCGTAGTGTTGTTGTTGAATAACGATTCGTTTTTATATTTGCTGCACATATATTACATGTGGCTGATTTTCCATCTGCTGCTCGAGTAGCATAAAGCCAAACATTGGCAGGAGCTCGGGACTGATCATCCATTGTAATAGTATTATTATCAGTATTATTATTATTATCATTTTTATCGGATGATAATGTTGTCGTTGCCGTAGACGATGAATTCAGCATTGGCGGTTGGTTATTTAGTGCTCCATCCGATCCTTCATCGTCAGACATGACTATTTGTCTCTTTTTGCGTTTTGTTGTTCGTTTGCATATATTTCTCTTTCCCGTTATACACGATATTTTCTATAATAAACGTTAAATATAGCGTTGTCTGTACGATTCGATCTAGAGATAGAAAACTAATAGCTTTTTGCATACATAGACGACCTAGCCCAACTTTGAAAACTACACAGTGCCGGCGTAGTCTGATGCGCATATTTTTCGAACAAATAGTAATTCTGCGAGCTAGATACGAAAGTTTTCAAAATCAGGGTATTGCAAATCTCTACCCGACATATCTCTTTCATGTGCAGGCCCTCAGCTACTTACAGAAGTCTGAAAAGTTTTTGTAGATACAAGATAATGTAAAAGAAAAGAAAAATCTGTCTCTATCACTAATATATTTAATAAAAACATATCCAAACTCTGTCTGCACACTGTATACTACAAAACAAAAGTGACTATATACAGTAAAATGGGTTACATGACGGTCGTGAGCCTAAGTGTAAGTTTCTATTATTTTATTTATTTATTATTTCGCCTGTAGCAGCTTAAACTAAATAGGGATGTAGTTTTTTACACTATGCACACTGAGCACATTCGTTTTTGTCGCAGTGTGCAGTGGAGTGCAAAAGTGTCTGTGCTCCGCACACACTGATTTGCTGAAAGCACACACTAGAAACACTGACCAGCTGAAAGAAAAAATTCTGTAACAGAAGATAGCACTCGGTTTAGGAATGCAAGTCATCTTTTTTGATGTTTCATCAACAAAAACGGGTAGCATCAAGAAAGTCATCCACTTTTCTGGTTGACCAATACAGAAAAGTGCATGACCGATCGCCCGCTTTTCCGATGTCAGATTTTACAACGACGACACAAGATTAGAGGATATTTAGTAGTCTGCAATTAGTTCAGTTCAATCAGTTATCGTACGAAAACCTAAATTCCTTCACAATCAATGATCACGAGCGAAATTTCCTTTTTCTATATGGACTATAATCATCTAGTCGCAATAGGCGAAAAAATTAATTTTATTTTCATTGTGGAATTAACACAGGAGGACAATAGTATAGAATCTACTCAGTCTGGAAGTTCAAAAAGTCTCTTACTTGTGGCTTCCAAA